CTGTGAAACACGATTGAAAATGAGAGTTGAGGTGTAGAGCGAGAAAAGTGAATCCTCCCATCCCACCCCACAGACCGTGACAGAAATGTCGCATCCTATTACCGTTTTTCGGACCATTCGATTATGATTTTTGTAACACGATGCTATGGATTTTCGAATCTCCAGTCGCTTAATCTCCTGAGATATTTTGCGTTCTAAATTAATATGAGATTTCTTGACCAAAAAACTGTTCTCTCTCGAAGTACGGTATTTAAGCTTATATTTCACGCCGTTAGAAACAATTGCAGATAATTCTTTCTAATTTCGCGGTGGACAGTTGCAAAAAAAAGATACCTTCTCGTGTCTATTAAAATGACTCCATGCTGTTTTATATTTTAATTCCGTAGAGATTGTGTTGAAAGCCTTTTTTTTATAGATGCGTAATCGTAGTCAGGCTCAGCCTCCAATAACCACAGATACCTTAGAGTCAATCATTCAACAGTACCGGGCCAATTTATCTGATCAAGATCGACCAACTTGTCATACACATCGCGCTGAAATCGGAGAAAGAACAGCATATTTCATTGCTCAACAGCTAGAAAGCATAAGAAGAGGATTGGCAATTATTCTTTCAATTCTCTTGTTATCAACAATCCCAACTGCTAAAGTTATTGTCGGTACATGCTTGATCGATCAATGTCCAGTTAGGCCACAAATTGCTATATATCTAATTACTCAAGGTGCCAATACTTTCTTCTTTGTGCTAGGGCCGATTTTATTCGTAAGCTTTTATTAGTCATGATACTTTCTTGAAACGAGCGCCTACACTTTATCTTGTAGATCCTATTTTACTTCACAGTAGCAGCTAGTCGTGGCACGTCATTGTTTCTTTCAATGCAATTAAGATTCTTTAAAGTATTGATTATCATTATCGGCGTATTTATCAACTTTCGAGTTTTGTTGTCTCTGATAGTGAGTTAAAGTTGATTTTTATCTACTTCAATTTCGATCAGTGCATAAGTTTTAGACTCAATTGTACTGGCTTCATAGTAATGTTGATTTGCAGTTCACTAATTCAACCTCTTCAACCTATTGTCATCCAGCACTTTATCAGTTTACAAATGCTAGTGTCATAATCAATTTACTTAGCTGCTTTTCACTATTTCCTTTATCTCTCGTCTTTATGATAAAGGAAATTCAACTGCCTACGTCGCCCAGATGGAAATGTTTTCAAAAAATTCACTTATATGCTGTAAGCCTTTTTGCTATCTTTATCATTTACTTTTAATTCGGCCATCACTAGCAAGAATATGAAGTAAGGAATATTTAACAACAAAGGTTCTGATACTGAATTCAATCATACGAATAGTCATATCTGTTACACAGACAATATGATGCAAGAACTTTTCTCCTCTGTTTTCATAGAGGAAGATAAACTAGACAACTACTGATGTAAAAGGGGTACATAAGAGTCTCACTGGCTGAAAGAAACGCGATCAATCAACTCTCTTGGTCATTGCATTTGTATGTTTATGATGATCAAACTATCTACATTGCTGATTTCAACAATCATCATATTGTGGAATGGGAATGTGCCGCGGCAAATGGTCAAGTGGTCGCTTGTAAAAATGGAGCTGATCAGCTGCGTTGTCAAACAGATGTCATTATCAACAAACCAACAGATGTCTCATCAGTACTGATCGAGATAATAGAAGAGTGGTTCAAGCATGTGGGTGTGGAAGTAGTTAGCAATGTTTATTTTACCCACACCCACCAACATCCACACCTAATTATTTTGCAGTGATTCTTTACTAACAAAAAAATAAAAGAAAAAGAAAATAATCAACGTTACTTTCTCTTAACTTATAAAATGTAATGTATAATAATTTTCTTTTCTCCATTTTGACCTCATCTAGGCAATATCTTTGCAGATGTTACAAAATAAACCACAACAAAAGACGGTTTCATTTTTTATTTACACATGATATTTGACACAGATTGTCAACGCAATAGAGCAATTAATGAGAGGCTAAAGTTATACTTCAAGTTTTCATTGATTCTTTCTATTTTTGCAATGCTTTATTTTCTAATGTACAAAATAAATTTTCAAATCTATTATCAATATTGAAAAAATCCATCAAGTAAATATCTCTAATACAGTATTACAAGATTTTTCATATGAAAATTCATGAATGAATCTCATAAAATATTTATTTCGTTCAGAATGGAGCACGACATTCGATTAATCCTTACACATTAGGGCGGAAGAACAAAACGAAAAAGAACAATTCGGATGGAATCGATTCTTTCTTTTTCTTTCTTTCTTTCCTGTCGTCTATGTAAGTAAAGTTAGCACCAGATTCGACTATTTCTTGTCCCGATTCGCTTTGTTACCTGTGTTAACTCTCAAAGCGATTGTGTTAGGTGAAGAATTTAATTCTCTATCCAATCGTACAATTTTTCAGGGTGTTATCGGGCAAAAAGGAGGAAGTATACCCCACATAGTGGGTCCGAGGCTCGGTTTAACGGATAATTTTCCTCATGAAATTTTATTCATACAGTTCCTGAGAGCGACAATCTTAAGAAGGCGAGTCCGTATAGACAGAATCGTTAAATCTTTTGCCGTGAACGCTTAGTAACGTGCGACAGACAATGACACTTTCAGTTGTACATTATTTTTTTTATGATTCTCTTTATTGGAACTGATGGAGTTTTCTATTTATTCTTTTAGATATTAAAGAAAGAGCATCTGTGCGAAAGGCTATGAAATGAGAAGCACAATTCAAAATGGCTAAGTAATGTGAAATTTTTCCAGTTGGAATAATTTTCCTTGTAGTGTGTAGTACCCACAGAGAATAGTATTCGATATCCACATATCATTTATTTTATTTATTTTGGAAGTATATATTGACTTAGAAGCAATATCTAGATAAAGTAATATCGAAGCGTGCTAAGAAAAACACCTAAGTGAAAAGCAATGAACCATATGATAGAAAGAAAATATACTGTGTGATAAGGTGGGAAAATAAATATGACAGAGAGGAAAGAAAATACAGATGGCAAAGAGTGAATACATATAATGTAACGAGAGAACGAATATCATAACATACTTAGAAGAAGACGCAAAAGTGATAAATGACAACAGCTGATTTTGATACTTCTTGACTTTAAATCATGACAAAAAAACGAGCAGTGCTATATACGAGACATAAAAAAGTAGACGAAAAGAAGATAAGAGGAAAAGAAACATATACAACTGAGTGGTCATTATCCGTCATTTAACTCTAATATGTTTATTCAAGAGATTTACTATTTTACAGGTGATGATCTTTTGTTCTATTATCAATGAAACTGTACAGTAAAAAATACACAAAAGTATGAATTTTACAATAAAAAAACGCCCAAATACTTTACACTATGTCATGCAGTGTTAGTATCTAAGGAAAATACATCCTCACATTTTTTCATTTCTTCTTCAACCTTGTTCATTCTCTTTTGTATTTTAATATTGACGAATCTCAATATAACTAAGATAACAATAAATACAAGAAGCAACAAAAAACATATTAATATGTTGCCGAGTATTTGCAATATTTTCGTTATTAGTGGAGTGCTGGCGTAAAGATCGAATTGTAGTTGTTTAAGAGAATCTATAGCTCTTGCTTTGTATTCAACTTCTAAGCGACTTGTCAATGGTTTTATTGAAAATTTAACATTTTTTTGTAAGTCTCATGAAGTTTAGACATGATCGATAGCGTGCCATTTGTACATTCTGATGATCTTAATTGAATATTTGAAAATTTGTCTTCTTTTTTATGCTTTATTGTGTGATTAATACCCTGCGGCCTATTAAGACATCATCTAAGTTACAGTGTACTTTTGGAAGAAAGAAGTTATGCTTACACCACTAGTCTAGAAGATTAAGATCATTACGAAGAGGCAGAAAAGAAGAAACGGAGTGGTAAACATAGATTACATTATTACCTACAAGGAATGAACGTACATTGTAGCACGGTATACAAGGAGAAAGACAAGGTATCACAGGATACACCATTAAGATATAACAACAAACATAGAGAAGAAGTACATTGATCGTATGAGCCAGTCCACGTAAGCCACGGACGATTGCTGTAGAAGGTGCTCAATCGATATCGTCGGATTCTGCTCATTTTTATATATGTGATAGAGGCAAGTGTTTGATGCATTTTGGTGAAAATCGATTGAAAAAATATTGATCCGTTGGGTTTTCATTCGAGTTTTACGGAAACCTCTAGAAAACCCTGGTTTTAAGAAAGGCGATTTTGAGCATCCTATATCTCAAGAAGGGTTCAGCCGATTAAGCTGAAATTTGTTGTGGCTTTATACATAATTTAGTTCTACACATAAACAAATTTTCAGCTCCATCGGTCAATTTCTTGGTTTTCTATGGATTTCACGAAACCAGTCCAAATCACTCTTTTTGATAACTTTGACGGTTTATATCTCTGGACTGGAAATAGATGCAAGTCTGAAATTTTGATTACGCATGCACCACAGTTAGGTCTCTCTACAGTAAAAATTTCAGACTTTTTGAGCGCAGCATTCGGCCAGGAAACTCTGGACAAAAACTCGATTTTGGGCCTCGATTTCCTGGACTCGTCAGACCTGAATTTTTACCGGAGTTTTCTAGTTTGAGAGAGTCAACTGTGGCGTAAAAAATGGCGCAAAAAAAACTTGGAACGAGTAAAAACGGCTTTAAGGTCGGTTCGTTTTTGTCATAAAAAATGCAAATAATAATGTTTTTTCTGGTCATCCCATGTTTTCTGCATTTCTGAACAATGACTCTACAGAAACCAATGAAACTTTCAGAGCAGATAGATCTTGTACAGTAGAGTAAAACTTGCGCTAGACTCACTTTTATACAATGCTTTCATCTATGGAATAACTGGATCCCAATGGATCAAAATTACGATTTTTTTCTACTTCACTTTTGTTTCTGGTGTGATTTTCGATTGAGTTGTAACCTTTTTTTTGGCAAACATCATAGTCTATTTGGGAGTTTCTACGATAAATTAGATGAAATACTGCACGTTCTATGTAGTAGCCTTATAGTGCAAAAATGAAAGATAAAGCAAGAGACGAACATTTTTGCAATAGCATTCAGTGTACCCATATTGATAGAATAATCAAGCAAAAGTTTATTTTTTACCAATTCAACTGTAATTCTTCTTATAATTCACAATAATTTCTCGTCATTAAGTGAGGTTCATTCACTCTAACTTTCAACTATACTAAACAACCTTAAATTCATAAAGATTGAGTAAATTGGAGTAAAAATCAACTAAAATGTAACAAGAAACGGTTCCTATTCTGTGTTACTCTTGATAAGTTCGAGCATCAGCTCTTGTTTTCCAGTGACATCGTATTGTTGGTCTGCTTTTCGACAACGATACTTAATTGGGGTGTGGGTGTGGATGTCATTGCTGTCTTTAGTCATACCCACACCACCCACACCCACCCACACCCACACCCTCATCAATGGAATTACAATTATTTTATAATTGTACATCACCAAGATTTGGTCCATTATGTCAATATTCATTCGATAATTATGAACCTTATCATTCATCATTGAATGAAGCCATATATGATTTTTATCAACATACATATGAACCTATGAATTTAACATGTTATATTCATTTAGAATGTAATCATGGTTCAACATTAGCATGTCTCGATTGGACAGAAATATGTGATGGACATATTGATGGTTTAAAGGATGGAATTGATGAAAAAAATTGTTGGCAACTTGAAATTAATGAATGTGAAGATAATGAATATCGTTGTTATAATGGACAATGTGTATCTAAGATATTTTTTCATGATGATCCTCATGTTTATGAATGTCTTGATCGATCAGACGGATCTTTGAATCAAGGAATAGTTAAGAATTATCTTCAATGTGAGTCAACATTCGTAAATGAAGACGTCCAATGCTCATTACGCAATTTCCCATTAATTGTAATGCTTACAAGCTCATGTGCACTACAACGTGATACTCTACTTAAAAAAATTGTGCTTTTAGATAGACCAAATTCATTATCAGAAACCTGTTGGTTAGCATTTCAGTGTATTTATAATAATCTAGGCACAGTCAAACCAAATTGCACTGCTTTCTGTTCTGGTAACAGATGCAAACAAATAATTAACGAGACTTGTCGGGATATACTATTTGTGCCCGCTAGACCACTAATCTTTGGTCACATGCACGTGATTTTTTCTAAAAAAGCCATTATAGATGGAACTTATTGGCTTCCATCTCAATACATATGTTACAATGATAAACTTTGTGGTGGTGGATTCTATCCAAATAGAACATTGTCTATATTCAATAATATGACATGTCGACAAATGGAAGATTTTCCAGTAACATTCTCTATGTTTGGACGAGTCGAATGGATAGATTATTATGTTAGACTTTTATATCAACAACTTCATCAATGTAATACAATTATCTACAATAATTCTATAGTTTGTAATAGTTCACAAATGTATCAATGTCAAACTCTTCAAAATGTATTTCAATACATCGTCTATGTGGTGGTATGATTGATTGTGATTATAAAGATGATGAACAATGCTCTTTAATCAATGAAACTCCTTTTACAACTGAATCTAAAATACTTTTCAAATGTACGAAGAAAAATAAATATATTTCTTCGAAATTAATCGAAGATGGTAGATGTCAGTGTGAAGTTGATGAATATGGTTTATGTGATGATGAAATTTCTGATCTTGATTACATTAGAAAACATATCACATTTCCAACAATTTGTGATGGTTTTACTGAATTAGCACCTATTAATATAAATGGACCAAATGAAACTGATGAAACTGAATGTCAATATTGGCAATGTAATAATACTTATACACGTTGTGATGGATTCTGGAATTGTTTCAATGGAGCTGATGAAGTTGATTGTCATTCATCACTATTATTAAAATGTTCATCTCATCATCACATTTGTGTTTCACCTCAGACATATCAACTTACATGTTTACCTATCGAAAAAGCCAATGATGGCAAAATTGATTGTGTTGGTGCTACTGATGAACCAAAATTATGTCGATCAGATAATCATGAAAGTAGCTATAATAATTTCTATTGCAAGAATAATACTAGTCGACCTTGTACAACGTTTCATGATGTATGTGCTCACAAGATTCAGTGCATGCATGAAAATACTAACCTATTATGTAGTTTCATCGGAAACAGAAGCAAATATTATACTGTTTGTGACGATGAATGTGAATTGTTTCGTACCGATGTTCAAAAGTATCTTTGTGATCGTCTCGATGATTCAAAGAAAGGGCGAATTGCAAATTTTTCCATTAATAGATCAAAACAATCAGATAAACAATTAACTATTCTTGATAAGAATAGAAAATCTTCTATTATTTTAACTACTCGTCAATATGAACAACGATGTCATCGTGGTCTTCCTTTACGAGTTTGGTTAAATGTTGATCAAAATTTGACAACTAAAACATGTCTTTGTCCACCTAGTTTTTATGGTGATATGTGTCAATATCAAAATCAACGTGTTAGTCTTACATTAAATTTTCAAGCAAATTCTGATTCTCGACGAACATTATTTGCTTTGATTATCTTACTTATCGATGATAGTAATCAACGAATTATTCATTCATATCAACAATTAACTTATCTTTATATTCAATATTGTCAAATTAAATTAAATTTTTATTTACTTTATTCAACTTGACCAAAATATTCAACAAAACATTATTCAATTCATATTGATATTTATGAAAAAATTTCATTTATATATCGTGGAAGTTTTTTGATACCACTTATTTTTCATTTTTTACCAGTATATCGTATTGCTGTTCAATTTAATATTTCACGTACAAGTGATACCATGTAAAATATTTAGATAATTCAAAAGATATTAGTTTCTGTCAATGTAATCGAGGATGGTCTGGAAAATATTGTACTATTTCATATATATGTACATGTTCATCTGATTCATTATGTATTGATGTTTCAGCAAATAATCGATCTATTTGTATTTGTCCTCTTCATAAATGGGGTTCTCAATGTTTACTTGATAATTCTATATGTAATTCTGATCAAAATACAACCTGTTACAATAATGGTTAATGTATACCTATTGAAGAACATATGGTATCTGAGAGAAAATTTATTTGTATTTGTCGAAATGGTTGTAGTGGAAAAAGATGTGAAATAACTGATAATAAAATTATTGTATCATTTCATAAAGATATAACTTTACCACAAACAATATTTGCTCATTTCATTCAAGTGATTGATGATAATGTTTCACCTGAAAATGGTTCGACTTTTAAAAATATTCCTATCAATCAAAATTCAATTATTATTCGATGGTCACATCCATTTCATATTGCTTTTGTTGAACTTTTCAATAAGAAATATTATTTAATAATTGTACAAGAAACTTATAATCAATCAATAAATATTGTTAAAACAATCAATCCGTCAGATCGTTGTGAACATATAAGTGAAATATTGAATGATATCATTGCTAAATTTCATCTTATTCGTCGTATTAAATACTATCATTTGGTATGTCAAAGACGATCATCATCATAATCATTGTCTTGCTTTTATGATGATAATTATTTTTGTTTATGTAATGATTATGACCATCAACGTATACCAAACTGTTTTGAATTTAATTCTTCAATTAAACATGATTGTTTTGGTAAAAGTAATTGTGAAAATGGTGCACAATGTTTGCAATATAGACCAACTTGTCCACAAACATCAATGTGTGTTTATCCATTATGTTTTTATGGAACACGATGTCAATTTAGTTCATCTTTATTTGGTCTTTCACTCGATGCTATTTTAGGTTATCATATTAAAGTAAATGTTAACATGAAAAATCAATCACGTATCGTACAAATAAGTCTAGTTTTAACAATAATTATGATCATCATAGGTCTTATCAATGTTATTTTATCTATGATTACATTTAAGAATAAAGCAACACATCAAGTTGGTAGTGATTTTTATCTCTTAGGTTCATCGATTACTACTTTACTTATTGTAATCACATTTGCAATGAAGTTTTCAATACTTATAGCACAAATGACATATAATACAAATCGATTATTCCTATATATTCAATGTTTATCAATGGATTTTTTCCTACGAATTTTTCTTAATATGGATAAATGGTTAAATGCATGTGTGGTTGCAGAACGAGCATTTGCCACAATAAAAGGAACTAATTTTAATAAGAAGAAAAGTAAACAAGTAGCTAAATATATTATTTTGACTCTTATTTTCTTAACAATTAGTACAACTATTTATGATTCTATTCATCGACGTCTGTTAGAAGATGATGATGATGGTGGTGATGAGAAACGTATTTGATGTATTGTTACTTATTCGTCTAATCTTCGAATATTTAATTCAATAGTGAATATATTTCATTTTTGTGTTCCATTTCTCATCAATATTCTTTCGGCTATTATCATTATTATCAAAACTACGCGACAACGAACAACTGTTCAAACTCATCAAACTTATGGAAAGTTATTACGTGAACAAATTCAGCAACATAGTCATTTACTTGTTGCTCAAATTCTTTTGGTCATTTTTGCTTTACCACATTTGATCATTTCTTTTGTATCAGGTTGTATGAAATCAATTAACGATTCATGGTTATTTCTTGTTGCATACTTTATTTCATTTATTCCACCTATGCTTACGTTTCTTGTTTTTGTTTTACCATCAAAATTATACAAAAAAGAATTTCAAAAATCCGTTCAACAATATCAACGAAGAATACAAACAAGATTATATTTTATTTCATAATAACATTAGTGAACTCAAAGAAGTTTTCTCAAAGGAGAAAAGGCAGATTTCTGTATTTCTTCACATTTCCTCATACTTCACCGTACTCCTGTGTATGTCACAGTATCTCTCGAGGCATCTCCGTACTTCTTGGTATTTCTGTATAGAAATACACAAATATGCTTTTTCTTCCGTGAATTTTCTTTCTATCGCTTCTCTATATCTCATTGTAATTAACTTTTCATATTAAATGCATAGTTTTGAGCTATAACCACGATTTAGAAATTGACAATTCAAGGAATACACACACAACAATCGATTATAACACTAAAGAATGATGAAATTTGAGGAATTCAAAAAAATCAAGCAACAATTTGAGAAATTCAACGAAATTCAAGCAATTCAACAAATACACATAACAACATAATAAAGGGAGTTATAAGCCTAAACTATGATGAAACTCAAGAAACTCAAAGAATTCAAGAAATTCTACGAATTTTATTGGACTGGTTGATTTTCTTGAATTCTATTAAAGTGTTTAATACAAGGATGTCTTCATCGTCACTATCAATGTTGTCTTAGAATCCAAGGAATTCTAGAAATTTTTATTGAATTTGTTGATTTTCTTGAATTGCCAATTTCTGGAACGTGGTTATTGCTGGTCTGCGAGGTTTCTATGATAACGGCTAAGTAACTCAAATGTTGGTCACGTCTGTGACGTGTCTTTGCTAAGAATGTCTGTCATGTCTGTAATGATCTGTTGCTAAGATGGTTGTCACGTCTGTGGGAAGTGGGCGCACATTTCTATCCCTATACTTCAACACTCCTTTTAGATCATGTTTCACAAAAGGTGGTCGATTGTGCACGATCTTTCAAACATCTGTATACAATCATAGACGCCATTTGTTAAATCTACTTCTAAGCTTATATAAAGAAAAGAATAATGAATTTTGAATAACATTCATTAATCTTGACTCATCTGAAAGGTGATTGATAATCAGTCTAAGTTATACATATTGTCATATTACAGCATCAGAATGTCAATGACCGTTTTCAGATTGGGTTATGTATGACCATATAAGGAAAAGTGTGAGCTGTTAATTATCGTTTCCATAGTTTTATAACTGTTGAATAGAATTGAATTTTGAAAAGCGGACTCCAGATGTGTACTCATCATAGTCTTACGATATCGACAAATTTTTTTCGCAATACCATGACAACTAAGTGACTGAAAAGTACCCAAGTGAGCAAAAAATAAGTGACGACGGCCGACATGACAAGTCCAGAAAGTTCTCGAATCTCGTCATGTCTAGTCCTTTTTGTCCATCTATCCCGTCCAGACTAGTCCGTAGAACAGAAAAATAACAAAAAAAAGGACACGAAAGGTGGATTCGAACATTCGACCCGACAGTATTTAATATCTGAAGAGTGTCCTGACGGCAGACCATGACTTAGCGATAGACTGACGTCAGTTTAAACAATATGAGTAATAGAGTGACGCGTGTCCATCTGCTAGGCGATTTGAAATCCATCGGAGACGAGCGACTTGATTAGTGTGAAATGTCTTCAATGGTGGTCAGGGCTAGTCTGAAATGTCATCTATGCACGTCAAGACTAGTCAATTTTTTTGAGAATGCTATGTTACTTCTTGTTCACACTAATCTAAGAACTTCAGGTAACTTATTTTGTTTGGGCTAAACTGTCCTGCTACTTCGTTGAAACTGATCCATAATGGAAAGAAAAAGAAGTAGAATGCAAGACAAAGAATTTGTGAATATCTCTATTATGGTTAAAAACAATCGATGAATAATCAGACACATTCAGAATATGGATCAGATATGAGAATAAGAAACATTTCACCGCCTATCTTCTATTGAGAACTTAATGATTGTTAGTTAAGTATGGTTTGTTATAT